ACCGCACAGAATTAGCATGTGATTTTCACAGGAATGCGGTGCAGTTCCTGTGTGAATCACATGCCATATGATGCACCGCAAAAGTGTGAACCCGGGCTTAAGGTAAGTTTTACATATATGTGCATGCATACTAGCACATTATGACATTACCTTACAAGGGACTTTTTTTTTCTTTTGTTTTCTTGCGATTTTACTACTGCTTTAATGCTGTGCTGTGCTGTGCTGTGCTGTGCCTATGGATCAGCATGACATAGCCAAGCTGCATTTTCAAAAGTAAGCAGTACAGACTCCATTTTTTTCCTTGCTTGTTTAAAATGGGTCAGTTAAATGACTCAAAGCTTATTTTCTTTGGGTATTTGGCTTTATTTTCAGTAACTAAGAGGGGTAAAATCCTTTTATTCTGTTTATAGCCATTTGTCTGTTTCCAGGCTGAATCTATGCAGCAAGAAGCTGCCATTGATACTCTTGTTTCAGGAAAATGGCATGAAATCTGCTGTCTCTTTCAGTTGCCATCAGCTGCATTAAATACTAAATATAGATGATGTGGAATCATCCTTCTGCTTCGGGATTCTTTTACGGTGTCTTATGGGGTTAGTTTGGCTCTCGCTTCCCCGAAGCCGGTGTGTGTCATTCCCATTTACACTTCTGTGTTTGATTTTGGTTGGAATTTTGTGACAGGACAGGCTTGACCTGTGTTGGAGAGTGTGAAAGCCTTGCTATGTGTGCCATCAAGAAAATGGGCCTTGTATTGTCAAGATAACCATGTCAAGCAGTGAGCTGAGCACAGACATCAGTATTGTTAAGTCAAGTCCTTCGAATCCTTCAATTTCTCGAATAATCCTTCTGTTTGTGAACCCAATTTTAGAAGAGACTGTTTCTGTTTAACAGCAAGATAAGGTAAAGCTTTCAAACTAGTTTGATAATCTGTACTAAGATTATTATTGTTATTATCCAAGGCTTTATTTCTCAAACCTGGAATTACTCCCCTTTCCTCTTGTGCTTCACTCACAGTGAATTTTAAGACCTGTTCCCTTAAGAAGGTATTTGTGTCGTCTTTATATGATCCTCCTTCCTTTCCCTCTACACTAGAGCTTTAACAAAGCTAAATGCTTCCCGGCTGTCAGATGAATTGACAGTTGTCTTTTTAGAAACCATTCAAGCACTGTCTCTATTGTAGTTCATTTTCTTCTCTCTTTCCATTTTGTCATTATAATGTGCCCAGGGAAAACAGTGTCTTTTCTTGTATCGGTAATAAAGGTTTCAACAATAACACTTTGGGAAACACCTTGCCATGTGATAAATGCTTTTAATTAACCTCCCTAGCGGTCTGATTATGTCCATATTTCTGTGCTCAAAGCAGTACATTTTTTCGCATAGAAATATGTATTTTTTTTAATTGTAGGCCTGTCATTTTTAGGAATAACACACTGAAATCTGTCCGAACAAGAGTCTAGTAAACATCCCGGGTATGATAAAATTTGAAACACAAAATCATAAATTATAATTTAATAAATAGTCATAAAAAATAATAATATAATAATAATAAATTTAATTCAATAATATAATCAAACCAAAAACACTTAAATTTGAAATATAGCGCCAAGTTCGCACATCACTGAGCAAAGTCGCAAAATCGTTTTCAGTGTCTGATGACGAATTTCCCTACAAATCATTATCACTCAATTCTGCAATTAGTTTGAATTTACTATCACTGTTCTCTAGTTGGTCTAAAACCGCTTTTGACCTAAAGGGACACTTTTTTGGACGCCATGGACAGTTCTCAGTTTCCAGGCAGAAAGAGCAGTAAAAATGCAGGCAGGGCACAGGACAAAGCACTCGGGACAAAATGTATGTGAAATGGTTTGATACAGCAATGTTTTACTATGTGATTTTAGTGTATTTAGTGAATGTCACTTTTTGTCATTTTCAAATTTCCCGCCGCTCTGTCCCCCGTACGTCCTGACGTCGCAGGGAATGGAACCCAGAAGACAGATGCCGGCATCCGCCGGAGGACGTTACAGAGAACACTGCAGGAGAGACATTGCAGGAGCGCAGGACAAGGTAAGAGAAAAACATATCCCTGAGCAGCGCCGCATGGTAAACCCTAGTGTATCTCGGGATTACCGCTTTGTGTCAGGGCAGGAACGGTGGAATGGACGGGCAGGCCTAATGGTAGGGTCACGCACCGACTGACGACAGCCACCACCCACAGACCGGAGTCCCTCAGGGCGCGGAGTCTAAGCCCCAGGCTGCCTTTCACCAGGGCCCCTGATGGTAAGGGAGGACTTGACGCAGCCAGGGACCAGATTGCGGCCCCCGAGTAACCCCAGCTGCGGTAATGGCCACCGCCAGTGGTGTATAGCTGGTGGGAACCAGATGGGAAACGATAGTGTAGTCGGACAGGCCGGGTCGATAACAGCGGGACAGACAGTACAAGACGGTAGGCAAGAATACACAGGTCACGAGCCGGGTTCAGCAACGGGAGGTCAGATAAAGGGATAAGGCAGAGAATAGTCTTAGTCAAAGCCGAGTCGGTTTCCAGGAGAACAACGAGAGTAGAACCAGAGCTTGCTGCAACACAATCATACAGGACACAAATGCAAAGAGCAAGTGCAGACAACAGGCTAAAATGTGATCAACCACACCCCTCTGGAGGAGGGACCGCAGAGGCCTGAAAGCATAAAAGGCTCCCACCATGCTTTGCAGAAACCTAAGATGGATGCTTGCACATGGAGCAGCACCAACTCTGAGGAAAGGTAGGACCTTGACATTTTGGTACTGAAACTTTACCCCGAACTACACTTGGGAATACCGCCAGGGGGGTTAATACCTAGCTGGAGTTCCTAATGAAAGCAGCAAAATGGCTTGAGTTAAGATTTAAGGGTTTTTTCAGCTTGTGTTTTGCATTTTACTTATTTTTAAAGCAGTGCAGTTATTACTTCGAAGTTTTGTAAACACGACCATCAAATGGGAACAGTCCTGTGTGTGAATTCCTTCTAGTTCAGTACACACAAGTGCTCTCTAAAATGTTTGCATTGCTGTGTTATGCCTAAATGAACATGAATTTCAGTGATGGTCAATGTTGACACTTTAGTCTTCATTCAGTTTAATAGCTTCCCTGGATGGGATCCCAGCTTTTGAAGTGGATCAGAGCATCTTTTTTGAATGAGCAACTACTTTATTTTTCGGTGCTTACCTTTTTTCGATTCTCCAACCCCTTTGAAAATAACTTGCCCAGCCAGGGTAAAAAAATAATAAAAAAATTGCTTTTGTTTTTCAATAAAAGTGAGCCAACAAGCCCTGAAAATGCATTTCTAGGTTGGTGTGAACTCGCTAACAAGCTCTTCTTGAGTAAGGGCTCATTTACACTTACTTCTTTCACCTTTCAACAAAAAAATAATTGCACATTTTTTTGTCCCCTGCAGACCTGTCAATGTATCTGTACCTCGTATGAGCAAACTGATACTTACTGACAGGAAGAATCAATGAACTACCACAACGCTCAACAGTGCATTCACTGAGAACTACAAGAGACTTGAACACTGTGAATGAGTGATGCGGCTGGACGGGTGAATCCCCCTGAGACCACATTTTTAAACATTTTTGGACAGCTAGAGGAATAAAAGATCCCCCGCTAGCTGTCAGAACAGGGCTGATCATTTTATAACATGTTACACCCTGAATATGGGTGTAACATTGAACATGTTATGAAAGGTGAACTTATCCTTTAACACACATTAAAGTGCCTACTACTTCAATACACTTTTTTTATGTGGTTTTTGATGCTTTGGTACTGCTTTTTTGAAGCTTTAATGAAGCTTAGCAAATGTCCATGTGTGTTGGTTTTCTATTCGGTTTAAAGGTGCCCAGTAGAACCCCAGCTCAGGAGTACCCCAGTTCAGCAGATACCCAGCTCCAGCTTATTAGTACCCTTGTTCAGCAGATCCCCCGCTCAGTGGTAACCCCAGCTCTTCTGATGCACCACCCTGTAGTAACCCCCAGTTCTGCTGATCCCCTGTTTAGTAGTAACCCCCAGCTTTGCTGATCCTCCACTCAATAGTAACCCTGCATACACAGCTGTGTCCTTCATTCACAGAGATCTGTGAATGAATAGACTATATGTCTTGTTTGCCACTGTGGCAGACGGACTTGTAGTTCTCAATGGACAATGATTGCGTTGATTAACACACTTGTAGTTCATTCACCCTTCCTCCAGCTTTCTAATTGAAAGCCTGTACAGAGGTGCGAGCAAAAAGCTGGAGGGAGAGTGTGCGGAAAACCTGACACTGCACCTGTGATCCACTGATCACCTGTGAAAATATTAAATACATATTTTTTTCTGCAAAATCATGCACACATTATTTTTTTCCTAAAAGGTGATGTTACCTGTAGTAAACAGGGCAATAGGGGAACTATCTGCACTCCAAAATTAACTCTTTCTTAACCCAGCCCCAGACTAACACTCCACAATATCCTGTTCTGGGCTACATTCATTTTTCTCCCATCCCTTCTTCCTACCTTTTTCTAATCCTACTAGGCATTTTTCCCCTTATCCTGTGAAATCAGATACACTGTATTGTCAAACGTATTGAGCCTGCCTTTACACGCACATGAACTTTAATGGCATCCCAGTCTTGGTCCGTAGGGTTCAATATTGAGTTGGCCCACCCTTTGCAGCTATAACAGCTTCAATTCTTCTGGGAAGGCTGTCCACAAGGTTTAGGAGTGTGTCTATAGGAATGTTTGGCCATTCTTCCAGAAGCGCATTTGTTAGGTCGGGTACTGATGTTGGACAAGAAGTCTTAGCTCGCAGTGTCCGCTCTAATTCATCCCAAAGGTGTTCTATCAGGTTGAGGTCAGGACTCTGTGCAGGCCAGTCAAGTTCCTCCACCCCAAACTCATTCCTCCATGCCTTTATGGACCTTGCTTTGTGCACTGGTGCAGAGTCGTAGTGCAGAGTCGAAGGGGCCATCCCCAAACTTTTTCCTCAAAGTTGGAAGCATGAAATTATTCAAAAAGTCTTGGTATGCTGACTCTTTAAGAGTTCCCTTCACTGGAACTAAGGTGCCAAGCCCAACCCCTGAAAAACAACCCCACACCATAATCCCCCGTCCACCAAACTTTACACTTGGCACAATGCAGTCAGGCAAGTACCATTCTCCTGGCAACAACCAAACCCAGACACAGATTGCCAGACAGAGAAGCGTGATGCGTCACTCCAGAGAACACGTTTCCACTGCTCCAATGTCAGCATGCTTTACACCACTGCATCTGATGCTTTGCATTGCACTTGGTGATGTAAGGCTTGGAAGCAGCTGCTCGGCCATAGAAACCCATTCCATGAAGCCCTCTACGCACTGTTGTTGTGCTAATCTGAAGGCCACATGAAGTTTGGAGGACTTTAGCTATTGACTACTTGGCAACTTCTGTGCACTGTGCGCTTCAGCATGCGCCAACCTTGCTCTGTCATTTTACGTGGCCTACCACTTCATGGCTGAGTTGCTGTTGTTCCCAGTTGCTTCCACTTTGTTATAATACCATTAACAGTTGACTGTGGAATATTTAGTAGCAAGGAAATTTCACAGATGGACTTATTGCACAGGTAGCAACCTATCACGGTACCACGCTTGAATTCACTGAGCTCCTGAGAGCGACCCATTCTTTTACAAATGTTTGCAGAAGCAGTCTGCATGCCTAGGTGTTTGATTTTATACACCTGTGGCCATGGAGGTGATTGGAACACCTGAATCCAATGATTTGGAGGGGTGTCCTATACTTTTGGCAATATAGTGTATATTTATTGAGCTTCTTTATTTCATTTTCAAAGCTTAACAGTACAAGTTGAAGATAAATGCTGATCGCTGTAACTGTATAACTGCTCCAGATTTGATAAATTCCCCTAATGTATACTCAGAATTGCCTGCACTACTGATTACACAAAGTCTGAATGAGTCACAGAGGCAGTGGCACATGGGCAGAATGACCTTAGGTAGTCATTTATGAATGGCAGGGAGCAGTGGCAGTGGCCAATTCTGGACATTGTACGTAAGTAAACATTAGCACAAACGTATGGATTTGTACATTATAAAATACTGTATGGCCAAAATTACAGCCTTGGAAGCAACTATGTCCTATTTTTTTATGCAGCTGTATGCAGCAGAACATTTTTTGTGTTTATGGACTAGAATATTCTAGTATACAGTGGTACTGGCAATAGTATGGAGCATATATTACATCTGTGTGAGCTGTTGTATTTTTTGTATTTAGCAACACATTCACCCTATTTTTAAAACTGTTAGAAATTCTGTATATAGCCTTACAGAACAGACAGTGCAAGTACACATGGGCATTTCTGCTTCACTGCAACAAGGAAACTTTTTTCAGAGAAAAGACATATACCATAGATGCAGCTACATTATAAACACTGCCATCTGCTGGTTGAATAATACATCTCTACTGAACACTGATGTAGTTGTTGCACAAAATTCACAAAAAGCAAGCTATAAAGTTAGCTAGACCTGCTCCTGTGTTTTCAGTTGTTTCACAGCCCTTAGGGCTTATTCACACCAGCCGCTGCATTGTAATGCTGCGACTGGTGTGTGGTGCACTCCGGCCAGAGAAGCATAGTGTTGATGTGCCAATCTCAGCACATTGCACTCAATCTTTATTGAAATGGCATACAGTGAGATTTCAGACTTCTATTGGCCGCCATGCAGTAAACTGCTCTGGAAGAAAGTACTGTATGCAGTACTGTAACCCAGTGATGTGATCCGGCCATACCAGAGATGACACATTTTGCCTGGTCTCGTGGTAGAGGTAAAGTGGGGCTGTGCTGGAATAGTCGCCCAATGCACCTGCTGTGAATGAACCCTTACTGTTGTACCTGTCACAATCAAAAAACGGACAAATTAACAAAAGTATACCTTTTCTTCCCATTGAGAGTGTACCCTTTGTGATACAATATGTGCATTACATCTTACTGCGTCATATTTTGGTGTACATAAACTGTACAACTTTGTGTGCACTAGTTTTAAGTAAAGCCTATAAACAGTGCGAGGACTATACATGAGCCTGTGAGGCTTGCAAATCTTATTTCTGAAACTGAGACTATTTAGAGACTGCATTGCTTGTGACAGAAAAAAATATTCTGGAGATGATGTGATGATTGCCTTAAAAAATCAGAGGCTAATGATATAAAATTAAAATTCAATTTGAGCTTAATTATTTGGCCCCAGGGGGGCAGTACGCACATTCCCAGTGTATTAGTGAGTTCAAGGCATCATTAAGTCTGAATGGCCATTGCTGTCACAAGAAGACAGCTGTTTCTTGATTTTTTATGATAGCTCTGTCTATGTTCTTGCTTGGTAGTGTGTTTTCATAAGAGCTAATGAATTTTGTTTCTGTCATTGCATCCAGCCATCAGTGAGCAGAAGAAGCAGAGGCCTCTTAAGAAAGCAAATCCATTACAAGACTAAGGAATCTGATTTCAATCAATAAATACATGTGTGCTCTGCATTTCTAGGGAAAAATAGTTTGCTTTGTTATTCACATTGACTTGTAAGCAAATCACATAATGATCTTAACTGATCTTAGATGTCCATGTACATTAGTCTTAAAAGCTCCATTCATCTATACAGATGAACCTGCGGGGAGGGAAGAGCTGCATCTGGAAATTGCAGCTACAGGCTTACCTCAATATACCCTAGAGAAGTTCGGAGAAAAACTGGCAAGAGGAAGAAATTGTGATGATTTTCTTTTACTCATTGATAGGCAAGATCATTCAGGAATTACTAGATAAAAGTGATACTAAACACACGCTGTTTAATTTATGTTATCACTTCTCTTTCTGTTTGTGGATAATGGCACTGTAATTATTTAAATAAAATAAAACATCTAAGTACCTTTTTCCTAATCGATATACAATTGTGTTCAAAATAATAGCAGTCAGACATCACTAACCTGATCAATCACTGTTTTTAGTAGAAATGATATTTCTACATGGCAAATAATTTACTAGCAGGTGTAGTAGAGTAATAGAAATCCAACAGACCCTACTAGCATTACATGCATGCTGCTGATTCTGTGTCATTGAATCACTAAATGAAAGGGGCATGTTCAAAATAATAGCAGTGTGGAGTTCTATTAGTGAGGTCATTCATTCTTTGAAAAACAGGTGGCAATTATTGCCCTTATTTAACCTCCTCGGTGGTCTGATTATTTCTGATTTTTTGTGCTGAAAGCGGTACCATTTTTTTGCATGGAAATATGTAGTTTTTTATTGTAGGCTGTAATTTTTAGGAATAACTCACTGAAATCTGTCCGAACAAGAGTCTAATAAACATCCCGGGTAGGATAAAATTTGAAACACGAAATCATAAATTATAATTCAATAAATAATCATAAAAAATAATAATATAATGATAAAAAATTTAATTCAATAATATAATCAAACCAAAACCACTGAAATTTGAAATACAGAGGCAAATTCGCACATTGCTGAGTAAAGTCGCAAAATCGTTTTCAGGGTCTGATGACGAATTTCCCCACGAATCATTATCACTCAATTCTGCAAGTGGTTCTGATTTACTATCGCTGTTCTCTAGCTGGTCTAAAACCGCTTTTGACGTAAAGGGACGCTTTTTGAACACCATGGACTTTTCTAAGTTTCCAGGCAGAAAGAAACAGTCAAAATGCAGGCAGGGCACAGGACAAAGCAGTAGGGACAAAATGTATGTGAAATGCATTGAAACAGCAATGTTTTACTATGTAATAGTCATTTTAAAAAAAAGGACATTTTTAAAAAATTTCAAATTTGCCGCCGGTTCCAGTGCCCGTACATCCCAACGTCACAGGGACCGGAACACCGAAGCCGGATGCCGGCATCGGCCACTGCAGGGGACACATCGTGGGAGCAAAGGACAAGGTAAGTGCTGCAGGGACTCCCTGAGCAACGCCGCATGGTAAGCCTGAGTGTAGCTCGGGGTTACCGCTTTTGGTAAATTTTACCACGAGCTACACTCGGGAATACCACTAAGGAGGTTAAGGAAGGAAGGCAGAAAATGTTGTACATGCTGGTTACAGTGCATTTCTCGCTGAAATTCTGAGGAAAATGGGTTGTTCCAGACATTGTTCAGAAGAACAGCGTACCTTGATTAAAAAGTTGATTGGAGAGGGGAAAACATATATAAAGAAGTGCAGAAAATGATAGACTGGTCAACTAAAATGATCGCAAATGCTTTAAAATGGCAACCAAAACCTGAAAGACGTGGAAGAAAGCGAAAAACTACCATTCGAATGGATAGAAGAATAGCCAAAATGGCAAGGACTCAGCCAACAAACAGCTCCAGGAAGATCAAAGAAGGTGTAAAGTTCCCTGTGAGTACTGTTACAATTAGAAGACGCCTATGTGAAGCCAAGCTATCTGCAAGAAGCCCCCGCAAAGTCCCACTGTTGAAAAAAAGACGTGCTGAAGAGGTTACAATTTGCCAAAGAGCACATTGACTGGCCTAAAGAGAAATGGCGCAACATTTTGTGGACTGATGAAAGTAAGATTGTTCTTTTTGGGTCTAGTGGCCGGAGACAGTTTGTCAGACGACCCCCAAACACTGAATTCAAGCCACAGTACACTGAAGACAGTGAAGCATGGTTGTGCAAGCATCATGATATGGGGATGTTTCTCATACTACGGTGTTGGGCCTATTTATCGCATACCAGGGATCATGGATCAGTTTGAATACATCAGAATACTTGAAGAGGTCATGCTGCCTTATGCTGAAGAGGAAATGCCCGTGAAATGAGTGTTCCAACAAGACAACGACCCCAAACACACCAGTAAACGTGCAAAATCTTGGTTCCAGACCAAAAAGATTGACGTTATGGAGTGGCCAGCCCAATCCCCGGATCTTAATCCAATAGAAAACTTGTGGGGTGACATCAAAAATGCAGTTTCTGAGGCAAAACCAAGAAATAGAGAAGAACTGTGGAATGTAGTCCAATCATCCTGGGCTGGAATACCTGTTCACAGGGGCCAGAAGTTGGTTGACTCCATGCAACACAGAAGTACAGCAGTTCTCAGAAACAGTGCTTATACAACTAAATATTCATTAAGTGATTCAAAGGAAAGCAAAATCTTCAAACATTTTTCAGTTTATATAGTGAATGTTTGAGTTTGTAAATAAGAATACAAACACTGCTATTTGTTTAAACAGTCCAATATTCACTTTTCTTCAATTTTTTTTAGAGGAACAACACAAATTTGATATATTTCTCTTCATGTTTTGATTTGGAATAGAATGTGTAGTTTTCCCAATGCATGTGTGTGTATGGAAATAAAAGCTATTAGAAGGATTTTGAGCTTTATTCACTTTTTTCAACACACTGCTATTATTTTGAACACAACTGTACAACTGTCACATGACCCAGCTCTTTCCCAGTCTGTCTGCAGGGAAACAATGGCAGGAGGAGCTTCTAGTCCTCTGCTACTGGTCACATGTTCAAAATAAAAAAAAAAATTAAATACAACCTTTGGGGTACAAAGTAAAAATAAATAATAGTAACAAACTATTTAAAATCATCGTACGAATACATTTCTGAAAAAAAATCTTTATTATTTTCGATGGTGTGGACAGCTTTCTGCCAGTCAACGGCTGTGTCATGCCCCTCCAGCCTGTGTCTTAGAATAACAGGAAGTGA